GTTAGCATACTCGGGCCCACCTCCATTTGGGCACTCCCCCCACTAGGACATCACTGACTGTGCTCTGTTAGCATACTCAGGCCCACCTCCATTTGGGCACTCCCCCCACTAGGACATCACTAGACTGTGCTCTGTTAGCACGCTCCACCTCCATTTGGGCACTCCCCCCACTAGGACATCACTAGACTGTGCTCTGTTAGCATATTCAGGCCTACCTCCATTTGGGCACTCCCCCCATTAGGACATCACTAGACTGTGCCCTGTTAGCACGCTCCACCTCCATTTGGGCACTCCCCCCACTAGGACATCACTAGACTGTGCCCCGTAAGCATGCTTGGGTCCATTTTGGACCTAGTTCCCTTAATCAGGGCATCATTGAATTGTACGCTGTTTGCAGCATGCTCAGGCCGGGTCCACCTTTATGGACACCTTCCCCTCCCCATGTTATATTTATTTTGGATCTACATGTCCCCTGGTTTTTCGTTATGCCCCTTTTTGAGTGTTTTTTTTTGAATGACCACGGGTCATGAGCAAGTTTGGTCCAGGTTTGTTTTTCGTAAACTTTCGTAAATTGCAGGAGTTGCTATATACAGTGGAAGCTTTCAAAGGAACTGATGTGGACCCAATTTGACCTGATATGAGCCTCATTTGACCTGAGCAGTACTTCGTCAATGTTTTTTAAAGATCTTATGATGTAATGAAATAATTAAAACTGAATTCATTAAATGAATTTTCTTCTTAATAAAGATGGTTTGACAAATCTTCAATCCAAATTACATGTGTTTATAGCCTTTCTTTGAAATGTGTTAATAGATTTAACGATGCCATGATGTCACTGACATTTCAACTTGTCAGTGATTTCATCCTTTGCAACGCTTGAGAAAATCTCCAAGAAATTTGATTTTTGATGACAATTTTTCAATCGTCTTACAATTTTAAGAAAAACTGAAAAGAAGTTGAAAGGAAGAGGGTGTGTCTTCAGCTTGGTGTGGAGTTTTAGTTACTTTGGATATAATCAGCTGATTTCCTGTTTCTTACTTCGCACTAATGCCATTAAAAATTGAAACACACTGTACAAAGTCTTGTAAATTGGATTGGAATTTTCTCCTTTTTTGTCGAAAGTCCAAGTTGCATGCGTGGATCATCTTGGGATAAATCTTTTCACCTTCCATAAAAAATATGATGAAGGATTAGAATCGTTTGGTTGAAAACCTGCTATTTGAAAATTCCTAAATGGCGCTCCTACATCTATGCAAATGCTTGGCCACATGCCCCTCCCCTCCTTTTGTTTAAGCAACTACAAAACTTACAGCTTTGTTTACTCTGTGAATGAAAAGTAAGGGCGCCCTCATAAGGATGTGCTAGCAAGTTGTCTGAAGAAGTTTTCAAAATCTTGATTGCGACGCATTGTGGTTTTGTTTGTCTGATTTTAACCCCACCCCTTACTTTGGAGTTTTTGCTCAGTTTACGAAATACATATTTAGGTTGCTGGAAAATCATCGAACGGCATGCTACTGATCCAAAATTGTAAGCATTTTAAAACATTCGAAAAATAAAGTCCGTGATGGAATCAGTGTCATTGACACATCTGATGCGTTCGAAACCAAGATTTTAGAAAATTCCCTTTTGGCTTCCTCCAGATGTCATGGCTTTGGCTGTAAACAACGTGTGATCTAATGAAACCACATGGCTAGTGGCTACAGACACCCCCGTAATTACCCGTGTAATTATCAGCCGCAGCCAGTTCATTCGGACATGGCACGGCCACAGCACGTGGCGTGATAAACGTTTTCATTCCTTCGCGGGAGCGTTTAACAACAAACAGCTACAAGAGACAAAAAGAAACTTTCCCATTTGATTCAAAATGGACTGTTTGACCTAAATATTCTTGTGGAGGCCAAGAACAGAGAGACTGAGCAACAAATGAGGAGTTCAGGCAACAGTTGTGATGCTGAGGCTGTTAAAATATCATGACCGCAAACATGGCGAAGCATGGCATCCAGGCCTTCCACGTACGTGCTGACTCGCGGGACAGGCGTTTTCAAGGTCAGTGGCATTACATTTTCTGTGCTGTTTCTTTATTTTGGTGCTATTGCGTGTAATTGAAGGGGTTATTTCTCAAATGAGATGCTTCCATTTGGAAAACGTACAATTTTTCACAATTAGGAAATTTTTGAGATGTACATGTACCATTGCCCCACAAGTTCTTTATCACAATGTTGACTCATTGAACAAGTTGAATTTGAAGTTGTGTTTATGTAGCTGTCATAATTTGTCAGTAGAAACTGGCTACGGAAGAGTTCCATATATGGACGTCAGTAATTATTCCCCACAGTGACCTATTAGCCTTTAGAAAGCAAAAACATATCCTGGAGAAAAGTTCAATTTAGGAGGGAAATCCAAGTCGTTTACATGTACTTAGAAAACTTGAGGTTCATAGGGTTTGGTTGTGTACGGGGTGTCAAGTGGCATTGGTATATGGAAGTCTTTCCCTGACGGCGTACAAATGAGAGGGTAGAATTCTGAAAGGTACAGAAATAGCACTTATCACATTTTGAAATAAACTCTTCAATTGGGCCACCCTTTCTTTTGAGTTTGGACTCTGATTTAAACATGACACCCAATACTTTGAAGTAATGTTATTGGAAGTTTGTTCTTGAAGTTGTAGGCTTTCAACTGTAAACATCTTGATGATGACACTGCAACAAAATGATCTGTCGCATTATGCTAAAAGGACATGGTAAAAATATGCTAATCACACTCCAAAAGCAGTTTCAAATAAAAAACACTTTAACAATTTTAATGCATGTTACAACTGATATGTAGGATTTATGGAAAAACCCAAGTTACATGTATTTGTCACATTACAGTCAGTCATGTCACATTGCCAAACCTACATGGAGCCCATCTTTGGTTTTGATTGACAAAATTATGTTCATCCTTCATGTTCTTTGTAAACAAATGCACATGTTGATTATTTCACACATTATTTCTTTAAAATCCTTTATCATGTGTATATTTTTATCTTGTCAGATTAAATTTGGCAACTAAATTACAGTACGTGCAAGTATCCAGATGCTGAATAAAGTGCTGATTACACTTAACAGAACTTCGCTGACTTACTTCAGCAGGATAAAAGGTCTTTGAATCTGTGAACTTTTATATTGACCTGTAGCTCATTATAAGTGCACATGTATCTTGCACATACTTTTAACAAGAGACTACGGCTCGGGCATTGGTCACGTCCATTTTCCTGACGTCTTCAATACATATTTAAGACTTGCCAACCGCATATTTATTACTGGATAGATAGATAAATAGATAAAAGTATCCGTCAAAATGTGCATGTACAATGAAATCTTGATAAGGCAAATTTCAGAGGGAAATTTATAAAAACTTTGAGATACCAGAATTTCTAAGAATCCGAGGTTTCCAAAACCTAGTCATAAATCACATAGGCCTACAGTGTGTGTACAGTGTACAGGTAACTATAACTCTCTTTATGATGTCAATGTCATAGTGGTTATTTTGTTCCTTTGATGTTACCGGAAAACTTTTCTTCTACTGATAAAAACAGTACATCACATTTGTGTTGCAAATCTTTTGTGCCCTTCGATCAGTTATGTTTAAAGTACAGTGCGCAGTACAGCACATTGATCATGGTTTTAACTTGGGTTTTCCAATTTCCAACATTCTTGGGTTTTCCAACATTTGTCTGTAAATATAGGGATGTTTTAATTGAAAACAGAAATTTCTGTGATATTTACAGATGTAGACTATGGGCATTTTCAGCTTTTACTGATTGTAAAAAAACCCCTAACCCACTAGGGCCTTTTTACTTGAGCACATTCTCAATCCTCCAAAGTCCTCCAATTGCCCAACTTCTGCATTCATCCTCAATCTCCTGAGTCCCAAATCCTGCCAGTTTTTGGGCTTATGCACAAAATGAAACTTAGACTAGAGGTACCTGAATCCTTGATCCTCCAAAATCCTCCTTGGTCCTACTTTTTTGGGGGCTTTTTTTGTTTTCTGGGGAGGATGAGGGCTGGGCACATCAGATTGGTTGCTGGGCTGAAGCTGTTTTTTTTGCAGAATTGGCTGACAACTTTACTTTTGTAATAAACAAAGCAAATGTGCCTTTGTTTTAACACACTGCAGTTAAGGATTGTGTAATTTATGACCAGCAGCAGTGAGCAATGGAACACACTGTCCTTGGATACACTACATGCATGACCATATGCACCACTACATGTATGTGACCAATTTTTAGTGCTTCACTTGCCATTCAACCCCAATCCTCCAAAATCCTCCAGCTTTTTAATCAGCATTCATCCTCAATCCTCCAAAATCCTCCATGCTTCAGTCACCATCTTCAATCCT